GCCCTGCTGCCCTCCTCCCTCACCGCTGCCGAGGTTCAAATAAGATACGGAGGTCGTATATGCGCTATAGAATATATTATAAATTACAACATGCATCCATTAACAAAATATACAAAGCCGACAGAAATATATCTATCTTAAGCCTGGGCACACATTATCTAAACCCTAGTAAAAAGTAACCTAAAGAAAACAGCGTTTCACGCTTCACATTTCAACCTGCAATGAAGTGTTCCTCCTCAAACGTTTTAGTGTTTTGTTTATTTATAGAACACGCTAACACTCCTAGTATGAAGGTACACACAGAAAGAACACGTGTCCCGCTGGGCAGCCCAGATCACAGCAGACAGCCACGCTACGCCTGGAAATTTCACCGGCTCCTGCGCTTCATCCACGTCCTCTCCTCCTCCTTGCTCTAGAGCAGGCACAAGCCAAAAGGTACTCAAAACAGAATGCACAAGTTCAGGTGGGGAAAAAACCCAGTCGTTGACGTTACAGGAAGTTCCTTATCTGGTCCACAGCAGACAGTTGTACTGGTGTACACGGAGACGGGAAACACTGCAAGATAGTTCTACTGTATTTCAAAATAAACATTTAAGATTATATCTTCCACAATCTATAAAAATAGGTTTAAACCAAAAATGGTATGATACATTTTTTTTTCTTCAATTATTTTAATGGTATCTTATCTCTAAGGGTATTAAGTCTTTTAAAAAAAATTACTACTACTGATCACCTGGTCAGTCACAATACTGATCAGCTACCTTGTGACAAAACAGGAACACCTTAGTTTGAAGCAGCAGTAATAAATTATTTTAGGATCAATGGTCTCTTACTGCAGCAAGGAAAAAAGTTTGCTTGAAAGTAAGAACATAGCCAACACTGCTGTCACCTTCAGAGGGACTGGACTCCGAAAAGTTATCTATGGATACACCACTGCACAGCAGGGTATGTTGCTCATTTCTTGCGATTCTCCAGAATCAAATCTCTCTCGGCACATTTAGAAGGGAATTCTGAGATTTCCAAATTAAATATGGGCATCTAAAGTAAAATCTTGTGAGAAAAATTAATGCTACAGATGTGTCTATGGAAACACAGGAGCAGCTAGAACCATCACAGGAGACTGTACACTTAAAACTACTTCAGTTAACATTATAGTTTGAAAAATGTATTAAGTCACACAATCCCTACCTCAAGCACTCTTCCCATTCCTAAACATTAACAGAATTTGTACTCCAATTCAGATCTAGGTTTCTATGTGGTTTTAACAGAATAAGAGATTTGCACTATACTGAAAAAAAAAAAAAAAAAAGATTATGGTCAAATTTTTTAGCATTTTTACAAAGAGCCTGTAAAGATTCTTGGAAAGGTCTTTCCTACCCTTACACTCCATTTTTAACAAAATATTTTATGTAGGCTATATTTTCCTGTTAGAGACATGTCATTAGGACAGATGGTTCAATTGCTGCTCATCAATTCACTCTCCTACTTCATTCTGCTACAAGAAACAGTGACTTTCCTGGTATTGACCAGTTTAACAGTGGTTACACTTTCAGACTTTTCAAAAGCTGTTTGATGGTTCAAGATGGCTTTCATGTACAAGCAACCTTTTTCTTCTAGGAATCATTTGTAAGGTTTAAGTCTGTTACATTACTGTCATGCGTTGGACAAATCAATTACTAAATCATATCAGAAGAAACAACTCACTAGTTGTGGGGATCTCTTGTAAATTAGGCAAGACTACATTTTACAGCAGCATTTTACATTGGTTCCTATTCCAAAGCTTGGTAAAAGTCAACAGAACAAGTTTCCAGCTGCCTAGCAAAAAAAAAGAAAATATAAAAGATTTACACACAAAAGGGGAAGTTTTCATCTGGGTGGAAGTTTAAAGTAATTCTACAGGACTCCCTGACAAAAGGATTCAGTATGAAATTAGAGACTTAAAGACTGTAACTATGAGTTCCAATTAACAGGTGACATCTTGGTCTCCAGTTCATAGATGCTGTGACAAGCACTGTTTGACATTTCCATGAGAAAAAAAAAGTCAAAAGCTCAAAGAAAAGCCAAAGCTTTAGTCACACCTCCAAACAGAAAGCAGCTGAGGAGCAGCCTGCTACTGCTGCAGTGTTTAATGCAAGTTTACTGAGTGAAGAGGATTCCTCCCTCCACCAGGAAGGTTCAGCATCTACTGCTGTACCAGTCACTGTTACTGATCTGAAGCAATTCAGTTACCACTTGAACCACATTATTGTTGTGTTTCTTCAGCAGTTGCAGGTTTAACTGCCTGTCACAGAATCCCATCTCACACAGACTTGATAGAAGTGTGGCAGTGTGCTCTTCTGTAGCTACCGGCTGCTGAAAACAAAAGATAGAAAGACAAGACATAAAAGGGTAATTTGTTTTTGCCATTTGAAGCAGTGATCCTGCATTATACTAGAATATATTTAAGGCACAGAGGCCCTTTTGTCTACAATTAAGCTGTTTATATTCACTTTCACTGTTAACTTACAAAGGTGAATTACTATTCTTACATGACGCTATAAGATATGCTTCTATCCCCATCTGCTGATTTCCCATCAAGCTTAACATTTTACTGTTGCATGAAGTCCTATAAAGAATATTGACTTTATAAAAAACAGACCTATAATTTTAAGGCTAGCATTCTATGAAACTCACATAGCATCCAGGAAAGACATTTACCTGTTCTATAATGGGTGGTCCAGCAAATAATGCTTTGTAGGCAGAAGCAGCAACTGACAAAGCTCCTTTAACTAGTTCTCCTGCAATGCTGCTTCCTTGAGGGTATCTGCAGAGAAGTCAGGTATTATCTTAGGGTCAGTAAAGCCAAGTGTTTGTCTCACATGAAATGCAAGTCTCTCCCTTTCATGTGCCACCTAAGATGTAGTTCTTGTTGGACAGAACAACCTATGACCGAAAGGAATCATTGCTGTTCAGGAACTGAGCTCATTCCTTCTTTCTTGATACCTTCTATTAAACTGCGAGTTTGAGCTAAAGTACATTAGTTTACAAACAGTTATGTTACGGAAAGCAAAGAACTACATTTTCTGACCCAGAAGAGTACACCTATACCTGAAAGGTGTGCACTGTGACACATCCATTCAGGCCAGAGTAACTTCCATTTGCTTTCCATCAATTCTTAAGTCACTTAATATTCTGCTCAATGTTTTGTCCTATTCCTCCAGTCTCAGTATCTTCAGATGCTTAACTCTGTAGCTGACTTTAAAAAATCCCTATTTTAAGAATCCTGAGATTTTCCAGAAGAAAATCACAGAATTTTAGAAGGATTCAGCTTAAGC